AGTGTGTAAGAGGTGACAACACAAGGTAGGTGGTGCTGCAGCAGGTGTAGAGGAGTGTGTAAGAGGTGACACACAAGGTAGGTGGTGCTGCAGCAGGTGTAGAGGAGTGTGTAAGAGGTGACACACAAGGTAGGTGGTGCTGCAGCAGGTGTAGAGGAGTGTGTAAGAGGTGACACACAAGGTAGGTGGTGCTGCAGCAGGTGTAGTGTGTAAGAGGTGACACACAAGGTAGGTGGTGCTGCAGCAGGTGTAGAGGAGTGTGTAAGAGGTGACACACAAGGTAGGTGGTGCTGCAGCAGGTGTAGAGGAGTGTGTAAGAGGTGACACACAAGGTAGGTGGTGCTGCAGCAGGTGTAGAGGAGTGTGTAAGAGGTGACACACAAGGTAGGTGGTGCTGCAGCAGGTGTAGAGGAGTGTGTAAGAGGTTGACACACAAGGTAGGTGGTGCTGCAGCAGGTGTAGAGGAGTGTGTAAGAGGTGACACACAAGGTAGGTGGTGCTGCAGCAGGTGTAGAGGAGTGTGTAAGAGAAGGTGACACGCAAGGTAAGTGAAGAGGTCTGGGGGAGCGGAAGGTAATCTGAGGGGAGATAAAAGGTAGTGGGGAGGGAAGGTAATCTGGGGGTAGGGAAGAGGTAGGGGGGACGTAACCTATGGGATGGGATGTAGGGGGGAGGGGAAGGTAACCTGTGGTTAATTTACATATTGGCTAAATACATGGAATGGTCGCCTTCCCCTCCTCCCTCCCTCCCTCCCCTTCCTCTCCAACCCCCTCCCTCCTCCCCTCCCTCCATATATACAGGTGCAAATATCAGGTTAAAGTTTATTTACATATTTGTCAGGTTAAATATTTTTCTGCGTATGTTTGGCAATTATTAGACGATAATTGAATATATCCGACTTTAATTTGTATAATTATTTTGGGAATGATTTATATTTTAAGCGGCGAGTTTATTGTCGTTGTTGTTGGTAATAGTTGGTCGACACTGTGTGATGTCTGCTGCTGGCACTACTGCTGGCACTGCTACTGCTGGCGCTACTACTGCTGGCACTGCTACTGCTGGCACTACTGGCATTGCTACTGCTGGCACTACTTCTATCACTGCTAGCACTACTTCTATCACTGCTACTGCTGGCACTACTACTGCTATCACTGCTACTGCTGGCACTACTACTGCTGGCACTGCTACTGCTGGCACTGCTACTGCTGGCACTGCTACTGCTGGCACTACTGGCACTGCTACTGCTGGCACTACTGACACTGCTACTGCTGGCACTACTTCTATCACTGCTACTGTTGGCACTACTACTGCTATCACTGCTACTGCTGGCACTACTACTGCTGGCACTGCTACTGCTGGCACTGCTACTGCTGGCACTACTGCTGGCACTGCTACTGCTGGTACTACTGCTGGCACTACTGCTGGCACTACTACTGCTGGCACTGCTACTGCTGGCACTACTACTGCTGGCACTACTGGCACTGCTACTGCTGGCACTACTGGCACTGCTACTGCTGGCACTACTGGCACTGCTACTGCTGGCACTACTACTGCTGGCACTGCTACTGCTGGCACTGCTACTGCTGGCACTACTGGCACTGCTACTGCTGGCACTGCTACTGCTGCCACTGCTACTTCGGGCACTACTACTGCTGGCACTACTACTGCTGGCACTGCTACTGCTGGCACTACTACTGCTGGCACTACTACTGCTGGCACTACTACTGCTGGCACTGCTACTGCTGGCACTACTACTGGCACTGCTACTGCTGGCACTGCTACTGCTGGCACTACTGCTGGCACTGCTACTGCTGGCACTGCTACTGCTGGCACTACTGCTACTGCTGGCACTACTGGCACTGCTACTGCTGGCACTACTGCTACTGCTGGCACTGCTACTGCTGGCACTACTACTGCTGGCACTACTACTGCTGGCACTACTGGCACTGCTACTGCTGGCACTGCTACTGCTCTCACTACTGCTGGCACTACTACTGCTGGCATTACTACTGGCACTGCTACTGCTGGCACTGCTACTGCTGGCACTTCTACTGCTGGCACTACTGCTGGCACTACTGCTGGCACTAATAGCACTGCTACTGCTGGCACTGCTACTGCTGGCACTACTACTGCTGGCACTACTGGCACTGCTACTGCTGGCACTGCTGCTGCTGGCACAGCTACTGCTGGCACTACTGGCACTACTGCTGGCACTGCTACTCCTGGCATTACTGGCACTACTGCTGGCACTGCTACTGCTGGCGCTACTGCTGGCACTATTGCTGCTGCCGCTACTGCTGGCACTGCTACTGCTGGCGCTACTGCTGGCACTATTGCTGCTGGCGCTACCACCATCACTACTGCCACTACTACCCTCACCACCACCACTACTACTACTAATACTACTACTGCTAGTACTACTGCTACTACTATCACCACTACTACTACCACCACTACTACCACCACCACTACTACCACCACCACCACCACTACTACTAATACTACTACTACTACTACTACTACCACCACCACTACTACTACCACCACCACCACTACTACTA